AAACAAAACAAGTCATCATTGTATCAAAATGATGTTAAAATTGTTCCAAAATGATCATTAAAAGTCATTTTTCAATCATTCTAATGTCATTTTGACTTTATTGTGACTTTCTGTTCTAATTGCGTATATATTATATTGTATACACAAGATATATGCTATACATACAATATTGCTGTACAATTAGTTAATAATAATATATTTTGTGGGTATATTTAATTGCAAAATATAGTGTTATAAAATAAATGTGCATTATATATGTTTAATTTTTATTTTATTTTCTCTTTCAAATGCGTCTCGTTTTTCACTGTGAGTATTAAGTATCTATATAGTGTAAACGAGAACTATAGATTTCTGTATTCGCTGTGAATAATGGAATAAATTAAGATAATTTTATAAAAGTTACTTGTTAGTACGCGTATTAAATGTTCAAATGTGCAAATTAGGTTAGGACATTGCTAGAACATAAATTAGAAAGAGAGAAAAGGTTATAAACAGAGAGCAGAAGTGAGATAGAATACAGTGCCCTGATTGGTTACGCGCCTCGGCCGCGCATGCGCACTCCATTTTAGGCTTCACTAACATCAAAGGTGCCGACAGAGAGTTGCGCTACTGTATATACTGTGCTTGAACCCAGTTAGAGGTTAGAGTTGCATGCACATATATCACACTTGTCACTTGCGCATGCGTACAATAACAGCCAATCAGACTTAGGCATGTATTACCTCGTCGCACCGTCTCGCAGTGGCTTCCCCCCCGCAACGTTATGCTCTGTCCCTATATTTCTATGTCCATGATCGCCACACGGACACGCCAGGAGCTCCACCATGCCCTTACTATGAAGGCTTACAAGCCTCAAAAGCGTAATCAAGAAAATAAAAAAATTTTATTTATGGGTTGGAGTCGAACCGACATCCCACGGAACCGTCAAGTCCTTGGCCCGTATTCAGAACGCGCTAACAACGATGTTAGCGCGCTAACATGCTATAGTTTACGTCACGCATACTATAGAATTTCAGAGTTAAAAGCGCGCTTTTATTGATAAAAGTGCATTCTGAATACGAGCCCTTATCTCTATGTGAGACGTACATACACACCCACGCGCGCGCGCACAAAAGAGGTGTAAATCCGACAATGCAACCTCCATGTGGTATGTACATCTTGGGTAAAGCGGGGAGCACAGACTTTTGCATAACGCATAAAGCATGTGCATAAGGAATTTCATTGGTACATTTTCTTATGCATGAGTCAATGGACCAATCAAATTCTTTATGTATATGGTTTATGCGTTATGCAAAAGTCTGTGCTCCCTGCTTATGAGATACTGGCGATCATATATGTAATACTACTATATGGCTAGATGAGAGAGAAGTCCATGTCCCAGAACCACGGTGCGGGAATATACTTCTCTCTCTTTCTCAGCGTACTTTGAACGTTGTGCGCATGCGTCGGATTCATCCCCTCCATCAATAATAAATAGAAGGATAAATATACATATATGTGTAAGGAAGAAGGAAAAAGTGATTGATTCCGCTTCAGGGTATAACCTTGTTACAGTTAACAGAGTCAGTTTAGTCGGAATAAATAAATTAATCCTAATTTTATGAAATAAACTTTTTCAAAATTGCCGTTATGTATATAAGAATACAGTGCAATCCCTTACAGAAATTTCATGATAATCAGTGCAAACTAATACCTATTTCATACCTATGCAAACTAATGTTTTCAGTCGCATTAGGC